TTCTGTAATTTGCCATCCTTAAGTGGTCTTCTTGCAAGTGAACTGTAAGCTACTTTCTGAGGCCGGGACTGCCTTTTGCAGTGTTCTTATGACAGTGGAAGTAGTGAAGCCTCAGAGGTCTGAAATAAAAATCTTAATCTCCTTCTGGCAGAGCTGTGAATTCATTTCAGGAGAAGGATGAACTTGTTCATGCAGTACTTGAATTCTTCAGCAGCAGTTGACTCTTCTCTAGAAAAGCTCAGCTGCCTGCTGTGGGTTTTTGCTGTGATTTTACAGTTGCGGGAGGTGGAAGAACAGCATCTTCAGTCTGAGCATTGTGTGCGTGACTTGAAAACTGCCTTGGATAGTAAGGAAAGAGAAGTAACGGCTTCCTCCCAGAAACTGCAGGATGTCCTGGTGGCATTTTCTGACAGTAAGACTACTGTCAAACAACTGGAAGAACACGTGCAGCGGTAAGAGTAACACAGTGAAGCAAGATGTCTGTTGCTTCCTGGGGTGGTGGGAAAACAGGACACCCTTGTTGCATCACAGCAAGCTAATACACAATTTTGAAGGATGTTTTTGTCTTAGGTGATGTTCTTTCAGAACTGGTGCTCTGGTGTATTTCCATAATAAGACTTATCTTTCTTTTTAAGCCTTGAAATTGAAAATGCCGGATTGGAAGCCACAGTCCAGCAACAAAGCAAGAGGACTGAAGCCCTTCAGAGAGACCTGCAAGCCTCTGCCTCAGTAAGCTGGTCATAAAAGTCCCTTTTTGTGAGCCCCTGAGCCTAGTTACCCACTTCTATCAGGCAATTTTAAGAAGAAGTTTCCTGGAGAGCCTGGGGGAGCTCAGTTCCTGCATTCTGGTGAATAGAGGCTGCTCAGAAAGTAGGCTGGTCCATTCCCCTGCTTTCTGGTTTTCAGGGTTTGCCTGTGCTGCTATAGCAAGTCCTACTTAACACACTAAAAAGTAAGGATTTCACACTAATATGCTAGTGTAACTAGCATGTGATGGCTGCTTTAGACTCGTCATGACATCAGATGCAGATTCAGCCATTTGTTGCGATGTGTGTCATTAAAGGTATTCATCAATTAACTTGTGGAACATCCACAGGGGATACTGATGCCAAGCACTTATGTTGGAGTCTTGACTGGCAGGAATTAGACTGGAATAAAACTTACACACTCCAGATCTTTTGCTGTGCAGAATTGCTTTTCTTTTGGCTATTGAGTTGTGTTTGTATTGATGAAAGTGAAGAGGAATTCCTGTGGTATCATTTGCAGAACTTGGTGCGAGCCTTGGAACTTCCACTGTCTCTATGTAGTGCCTAATTTTAGCTTCAGATAAGGTGCTTTCATCTATGGCAATTTGAGTTTTGGGTTGGTTTTTTTTTATTATTACAGTGAACTAGTGTTCTTGTTACAACTATAGTTGCTAATTAGTGCTGAAGAGATTTTGAAAATAGCTACATATGAAAGTTGAGTTTTGATGTAGTGATACTGACAAGAGCAGAGGGAAGGGAGTCTTCATGCTTGTCCTTCCACTTTGCTTAATAGGGCATGGCTTTCTAATGTACTGTGGATGGGAAAACCTTCTGCCTGTTTTCATTTGAAGATTCTTTGTACCCTTCGTGGTATTGCCTCTTCATGAAGCAAACAGCAGAGGTGATGATTGCTAGCAGTATTATAGCGGCATCAAACTAAGGCCATTTTGATCAGTGGTGCGGGATGTAAATACTTGAGCAATGAAGAGGTGTATTAACACTTATTTTTGGTAATGAGTGTAAACTTCAGTCTGGAAAGTCATAGTGTCGTCTTGCTTTTTAATGCTTCTGTAGGTTCATAACTGCCTGGAAGACTTGATAACTGGCTTACAGACAACACAGGCAGCTGTAGAGGACCACCACCATCAGCAGGTACCTGGGTGGCTTCTGTGAACGACTGCTTTAGTCTTTGTATTTTTTATGTGCAGGTAATTGATGAGAAGAGCGGGTGGGCTGTGTAGGCACAGTTCAGCTGACAAATAACCTTTCTGGTTTTAGGGCAAGGCACCCTCAAGGAAAAAGGCTGTATATTTCCTCATTCCCCTGCTGCTGTGTTTTGTGTTTCTGTTGTGATTTGCAAGATACTTGTTCTTCAGTACAGTTTGTCTGATAAATTCTCTCCCGCATCCCACAAAACGAAGGAGTGCTGAAGTAGCTACCTACTAGAGTTAAGCTGTGGCAGATGATTGATAGGATGGATGTTGTGAGCAGGGCTGAAATCTGTGGTTGAAAGCTGGGAGAGGTTATTGGACTTGGGAGATGGATGTTAACTTTGCAGCTTTGTCAGAGGTTGCCCTTGAGACCATGTTAGCTTCTTTCATAAGACCCAGTGCCTCACCTCCTGTGTAAGGACGCTTGAGTAAGTTGTACACCCTGAGGATTTTTTATCTAAGTCTTTGTGCTAAGGTTTTCATCACTTCCTGTGCATCTCTAAACTTGTTTTTTTTTCCCCTTACAGAATGCCACTAAAAGGATATAGTCAACTTGCTTTCTTTATACTTGAACTGCATCAGCAAGTTCTCTTCCACTCAAATGCATCTGCTAAGCAAACCTTTGTCCTTTTGGGTAGAACTATAAATATCATTGCTGATCTGAAAACATTTTGCTCCTTGCTCTTGGGAGTTGTACAGTTGTTACAGAATCTGTGAGGGTATGGTATTTTCTGTGGCACTGTGGGCACTGGAGGAATTATCATACTATAAAGTATGTATCCTTATGAACTCTGGAGGACCTTTAGAAGAAAGCTGTAGGGTCATTTTGAGCATGTCTGTCTTCTTACCACTTCTAGAACATTCATTCATTCCACCAGCTTCAATTGTTTTTCTTGGTTATGTTTCCTAAAGTTTGTTTTATAGTACACATTAACCTTTACCATGGATCTTGGATGGGGAGAGGAAAGCTTAGGCCTATTTCCATTTAAGTTACTGCTTTCTATTGCAGCATTGTCTTTACAGTCACCTTAGTTTTTTCTTTTGCCACTGTTGCTTTCACAGATGCAAAAGCAGAATGTGTTGGCTCTCACGTCAAAGGACTCGCACAGCATGTGGGAGGAGCAGTTGAAGACAAGATCCCACCTTGAAGAACATGTTGCTCAGCTTGACAGGGAAAAGGCCAAACTCCTGGAACAGGTGAGCCCAGTAGTCTCCAGGTGTCAGTCCAACACCCAGGAGAACCGTGTTCACCTCTTTGTAACATTCTTGCATACTTGGCTTTTCCTGGTTTTCCCTGCTGCTCATGTGCTGAGTATCTTGTCATTTGGGGGTCATGCAGGAAGTGAATAAAAGCTAGCTGGGTATCTTTCTGTAAAATGTTGGGAAGAGTTTCCATTGTGGTTTGGTGTCAGTGGTGCACATGGAGCACAAGGCTGCAGTTCCCCAGTTCTTTCCTTGGATTCCTTCTGGTCATCTGACCCTGTGTTTCCTTGGCATAGTTAAAATGTTTCATGTTTCCAGTGCACTGTATGGAGGAGCTGCTGCATGTTTTCAGAGCAAGGGGAGCTTAAAAGCCTTGCAGAAAAGTGTACTGAAGGAATTCTGGCCAGATGAAGTAATGCTTTTGGAAAAAAGAAATGGCTGCCAGTTTCCAAGGGCCACTCTTTCCCCCTTTTTCCTTTTCTATAGAAGTACAAAGTCAGAACAGCTGCCACCTCTACTCTGGGGTGTGGCAAATGAGGGCACAGACCCAGCTTAACAGTGAATCAATTTTTTTTTTTATTGAAGCACACCCTTTTTATGCCTTTTAAAAGTTCCTCCTGTTCACCACCAACCAACCATGCCATGTCACAACAGTTCAAACTAAGCAATCATTGAATGCCTTAACTGTTTCCCTATGCAGCAGCTTCTCGAAAGCCCCCTTGGAAAGTCCCCAAAGCCCCCAAGGTTTTTCCTCTGCAGCTCAACTCCCACACTGGGGTTTAGCTGAGAAAATAGCAAGAGGAAGAACAACATGTGAATATGTAAATACTCACAAAGGAGAGATGGAGGTAGTGACACAAGGGGATAAAACATGGAAGAATTCCAAAAGATCAAATTCCTCTGCAAGCCCCTGCCTCCTGGTCCTTGGAGATCCCTTTAAAGCTTAGATTGACCTTTGTTCTTCCATGATGTCCACATATATGCAATCCCTGCTATAAACAGAGGAACTGTCAAAAGTGTTCACTGCCATCATTTCCGCCTTTTTGCCTTGAAGCATTAGAAGAGGGTGGCCATTGCTTCAGTGGAAGCACCTGTTTCTGTTGTTAGGTATTAGCCTGTCTCATGTGAAACCTGAAGTGAATAAATGTTCTTAGGAATTCTGTCCCTTGGCCTTCTATGGAACTTGGCTAACAGATATTGGAGCTTCTCTGTGGAGAATGCTAGATGCACATACTGCATGTATTTACTGTTCCTATGCTCTGTGTGTTATGTATCTTTTCTATTTTGAAAGTATGAGAGTGAAAGAAAGAAAGTGAAGAAGCTGGTAGAGTTGAAACGCCCAGTCGAGCAGCGTCTGGACCAAGAAATGAAAAGAAACGTTGAACTGCAGGAAGACTGTAAGAGGTATGGCTTTTTAGTATGGTGAAGGGGTATCCCTGAGGAAGCCAAACTTTACTGAGCTTTAATGTACGAATAGGTGCACATAATAGATTATTTGTAAGCAAACTAAAGACGCATGTTAGTTCTTGCAAGGTGTTTCTGTGCATGAGCCTATAGTTCTCAATAGCTGCCAAAAGAACTGCAATTAAAGCTTTCCTTGCGGTTCTTCTGGAGGAAGGAAGTCTTTTCTTCCCCTTTTCAGGTGAAATTTGTCACACAGGAATGCTGGTTCTTCTCAGTAATTCCTGGGGTGAAGCAAGCCACAACACGAGAGTATGTGAAAAAGGCCAGTTGTTCTTCGCTTCGTTATTTTCTTGGCTATATTTGCTGTGCAGGTTGAAAAGGCTTCTGAGCAGAGCAATGAAGAAACTAAGGTTGTATGAAGAGAGAGAGAGAGAATCCCAGCTTAATTTGCAGGGAGAAATGAAGAACAGATATTCTGAAATGGTCAATGAAGTTGGTAGATTAAGAACAAAGGTAAGCACTGGTTGGTTTGATTTTTTTTTTTTCTGTGGTGGTGTTTTTTCTTTTGAGACTTGTGTTACTGTTTCCCTATGCTTCTTTTCGCGCTGTTGATTTTTTTCTTTGCTGTGTTCTGGAACTGACTGACTTTTCTTGATAGCTCTTCTGCTGTTACAGTAGTTAACCATAATTTCTACTGATGTAGTTATTATGGATAAAGATGAAAATGTTATGTGCAAAGCAGTACCTTGCAAGAGCACATCAAGGGCAAGATGTCCTGCAGAGAAGGGGCGAGGTGAGGGCAAGGCTGAGTGAGAGCAAGACCCCTGTAGCAAGGCAGGCAGGGTGCCAAGGGTCAGGGCTGAGAGAAGTGTGGCCTTGCTGCAGCTTGATGCTCTGGTTGCATCTTCTAGGTCTGAGAGATGAATTCCTGCTCTGGAAGAGCAGGAAAGTAACACTGCCATAACTCGTAACAGCTGTGTGAGGTTGGCTTTGCCAAAGATCACTCCCTCAGCCATGTCTTGGGCACGAGTTGAACAGGAAGCTGTTCAGATTTTGTTTTTCTAAACTGTTCTTTCTAAACGATGCTGTGTGCTGATGCAGAAAACGTTCTGTGACTTATTGCTCACTAGTAGCTGTCTCAGGCTGTCTTTCCCTTGTCATGGGGACCCAGGAGTAGAGTTTCCAGAAGTGCTCTTGAGGTTCCTCTGGCTGTTCAGTACTGTGTAACCTTTCATCTGCTTCTCTGCACATTAGTCAGATCTGTTGCTAAAGTAGCCTGTTTCCAAGCTACCATTGCTTTTAGAAAGCAATGCAGAATGAGTCAACTCATACTAGCTCCGGCAGTCCTAAAGTTAGTAGCATTTGTGTTTCTGTTGGAAGAGTTACTTTGAATGATGGGGAAGTGCATTACATTTAGGCAGTTTTAAATAAGTCTGAAGTTTCTACTTTCTGTTACTCTTTGTAGTGTTTACAGTACTAGTTTCCTCCTTTTTTTTTAATAAAGGACCAGACATCCTGTTTTGTGTTCGGTAGGTATAGAAGAGGTATGTTTCTGGAGAGGGAAAGCGGAGAATGGAGCTGTAGTTGACCATTGGAACCTGTTAAAAGTCTGGTATTTCCTGCAAAATTTTTAAAATAAACTGCAGTTTAGACCAAGAATACTTCTTCCTCCACCACTGCTGTAGAAGCTGTGTTTACAAATCTTTTAGTGTAATGGGAAAAAAAGTACCTGTTCCTTGCCTTGTCAGTTCTGCCATGAATGTTTGACTGTTGACAGCATGTAATAATTCCTCTAAAGCATGATACATGTTGTTTCTGATGAAACCAGAAGGTGGCTAGGTACAGTTGTTTGATTTCCCATAAGCATATGAGCCTCTCATGGAATGGCCCTAGTTTTTTTTCAGTCTAGCCCTATGGGTGAAACACTGCTACTTTGGTATCTCTTGGTTTGTGACCTATTGCAGAAGAACTGAGAAAGGATGGGAACCTCAGGAATCCTATCAGAAATAACGTGAAAGCTGTTCTTCTTTCAGAAGCGCCTGGTTTCACTTTGGTTTTAAAACTGAGTCAGCAGATGACAAAAACAGTCTTGATGACCAACCCCTTTACAGATTCTCACAGAATTTACTAATTTTACATTCCTCTGAGTTCCTTTTTTTTTCCTGCAGGTTGGTGAACTTTCCCAGCAGCTGGAGACAGAGTCTAAGAAATGCATGCAACTAGAAGTAAAAAATCAAGATTTGCGAGAAGAGTTGTCCACCATGCATGGGAACCATGAAAAACTGGAGAAGACCAAATGCCAGCTGAAAGAAGAGGTGGCTAGCCTCAAACATCGTTTGGAGACTAACATGGTGGATTATAGCCAAATGGAACAATATAAAAGAGAGATGGAAGAACGAGCTGGCCAAGAAATAAGACAAAAACTACAAGAAGTCAATCTATTTTTGCAGGTAAGTGAATTTCTCACTTATGTCTATAGTCTTTATTATATACTTCTGTTGTGATGATAATTTTTTAATATCTCATTTTTGGTGCTTGATGCTGTGCATTAGTGCTGTACTTCTGTCTTTCCTAAAGTGGAGTGGGAGAAGGGAATATGGCTGGGCAAGAATGATTTCATGTGCATGTGATGTTGTCTGCAGGGTCCTGAACTAAAAGTTTCCCCAAGGTAGATTTCCATTTTGCAGTTCCTGGGGGGGGGCAGGGTGGGGCGTTGGTGGTATCACTGTTCACTGGTCACGTTCTTGCTGTTCATCCTTGAATATGTATTGCAACTTAGCATTGGCATGGCCAGGCCAACAGGCCCTGCTTTGTCACTTTACAGGGGAAAGTGCTCAGAAAATAAGTCACCCAAGTTGCAGGGGAGTTCAGGGATCCTCAAAATTTCTTTGAGGAATCCTTTTCTTTATGCCCTGCCCTACAGAGATACTGTTCTTTCATTAGTAGCTTTGATTAACGATAGTACTAAGAGGGGGGGTTATTTCTGAATTTAAAGAATTACTTGGCGTGGTAGTTTCAGGGTTCAGCCTTGATTGCTGATGGTAGTGAACGGTCACATTTGCCTCACTGAGCAAAGATGGGCTCTTGAAATTGGGTTACATGTAATCAACTGGTGAGTTCTCTTTTAATTTGTGGTTGTTGAAAGTGAATTATCTGCTTCAGACGCAGGCAGCCTCCCAGGACAGATTAGAACAAATCAGAGCCAGTCATCATGCTTCACTGAGAAACCAGCTAAAACATAGAATTAGAGATCTCGAATGTGAATTGGACAGGATAAAAAATACCCAACAAGACAATCTTTTTCAAAAAGAATCCACACAGGTAGAAGTGGAAAGGTACAAAGAGCTGTATCTGGAGGAAGTAAAAAATAGAAGATGCCTAGCAAATAAACTGGAAAGGTAAGTCCACGCTGTTTTGGAGCGGTAATAAGATACTACTTTGTCCTCATGCATTTTCCTCCTAAAATCTCTCTTCTGCACCTGGTCAGCATTATGTAAGCATAAAATGTCATGTTTGTGAGGAAAGTACCTCTGAGATGCTTCTGCTTCATAGAACCATGGAATTATAGAATGTCTGGGCTGGAAGGGACCTCCAAAGGTCATCTAGTCCAACCCCCCTGCCATATGCAGGGACATCTCCAACTAGATCAAGCTACTCAGAGCTTCATCCAGCCTGATCTTGAATGTCTCCAGGGATGGGGCCTCTACCACCTGTCTGGGCAACCTATTCCAGTTCATCAGGACTGTCTTCATTTCTCTTTGTTACTCCAGCAGTAACACCAGTGACCATCATACCATTAATGAGGTATCTTAAAATCAATTGTGCTTTAACAGGCAGCCTTTTTTTCCAATCTCTAGTAACCTCCTCCTCTTACTTGGTATAGGGCAGAAAGATAAATTTCATGTCCTTTGCTACTTGAATAAGGATGAGCCCTTCAGAGAACAGAATTTGATTCTGTGAAAAAAAATAAATCTTTTTTGGCTTTCATTTTAGCAGTATGTCTGAGGTTTGAGCTTTCCTTGGGAAAGGGAGAGTAGCCCAGAGTTCTTAGGCAGGTGACATACCTTTTGGAAGAAGCTACAGAAACTCATGGCATTCAGAGATTGCTTTGAAGCCCTAATGCTGAGAAGTCCTGAGTGTTGGTAACTCTAGCTTCTCCTTGCAGATGGTATGACCTAGGAATAGGCTCTCAAAAAAACCCCCTCAGATTAAATTATGGTTTTGTTTTTGGTGCTTTTAATCCTTTCCACTTTCAGGAGTCAAATAGTAGCCAAAGACCTGGAGGATAACTTTGAAAAAGTCTTACTACCAAAGATAATTCTTTGTATGCTTCTGAATGTTTCAGAGCTAATGAGAGACTAGCAGAAGCCAACGCTAAACTCCTTCGAGAGCGCCACAGAAACAAATCTTTAATAGCAAGCAGCTTTGTCAGTGGAGGTCTGGCTGCAAGTCCAGTTCTGTATTCAGCTGAACCGGGACATCTTGGCAACAATTTGGCACTCAACAGAAGTCTGAGTCTAGGAGGAAGCTTCCTAAGCCCAGCTGGACACACATTATCATCAAGAAACAGAGCTGAAGCCTATGTGGCCAAGGTAAACATTTTGAAATACTATTCTCCACCACTGCTAAAGAGTATCCGTAAACAACGTTACGCTTTTTGCCTGAAGTTAGAATCAATTTATGGTTCCAAACCATATGGTTTAATACACCAAAACAACTACTAGTCATCAAAAACAGTACACAGCTGTATGTGGTAGAGGTGAAGGCTTTTGGTCATCAGGGTTGTACAGATTTCCCAAGAGTGCTCAGAGTCCAAAAAATACTGAAATCTAAATAATGAACTCCATAGCTGCATTATTCTACAAGACAAACTGCAATAAAGAATACTGTGGCATAGGAAGTTCCCAGTTAAGCTGTTCATGAAATGTTAATGTACAGTATGCATGACCTATTTAAAAGGGCTGAGTTTATCATAAGTGCAAAATCCCATCAGACATTTTTCTTTGAGGCATCTTTTTCTTCTTCACTTATCTGCATTCTAGCAGTTTTCTCCCTGGAACTTGTACATCAAAACCAACAAAGGGATGCTTCAAATATAGGATGGTACAAACAGGATCACGTAACCTCTCACTTTATACTTCAGTGTGGGATGTATACTATGTGTAGGAGGCATTTGCTTTTGTAGTTACTGCTGTGAGCTATCATATGAAAAGGTAAAAAATTAACTACTCCTCAGGAACTCTTCACAGCTTTCTAATTTTGCAGCAATGCTGCAGCTTCTGTCATACCTCTGGTCAAAGTAGACCCTGCAATTACTGGCTACTGTGTTAGCACATCCCCCACAGAATGGGGACCATTGTATCAGGAGATTTGGAAATCACATGTGAGTAGTTGTAATGGGTTCCTCACTGAGCGTAGGACTGGGGCACGGACAAGCTTCTCTATTCAGTCAGTGTTCTATCCCTCCCTTGGGTATTCTGTTATTGAATGCATGTGAGAAGTATTAATTCGCTTTTAAGTCTATCTGAGTTCAGTGGTCCTACCCACATTGGAAAGAACCCATTTAAACACTATGTCTACATACAGGTTTAAGAAAAACAAACAAACAAACAAAAAAAACCAAACCACAAAACCAAACAACAAGGAAACAAAAATGGACAAAGCACTATAGATGATCCATAGCAGCGGCAGTTAGAGATGAACTTTTCTGTATCACTGTGAACATATTTTTCAGGTCAGAGGGGTGGACATAGGTTACAGAAAGAACTCAGGACACAATTAGTACTGTACCATCTACAGGGGCTATTCTGCATGCAAGCAGTAGAAAGGACACAAAATTCAGAGACCCACTGCAGAAGTGAAATAAGGAGAAGGGAAAAAGAGGGGTAGAGAGCAGGGAACAAGTGAGGAAAGGACAGACAGAGAGATGGAAGCAAGATGTTAAAAGAAGAAAGGCAAAGGAGGAGACCATCCCACTTCTACGAAAAAAGCTGCCCTAGTTTAACAGAAAAGGATTAGTAGTTGTGCCTTCTGTGAAGAAAAAAGAAGAAACAGGATAAAAGACAGTGCAGGGAAAGAAAGTGTGAGTGCAGTGCTTGTTAACTGAATTACAGCAACATTCTTCAGGTACTCCTTTCCATTTTTATTTTCCAGAAGAAATTGGAACTCTCTGGGCATCTCAAAGTTATGTCAATATCAAGATTATTAAATCAAATCAAGATTTTTTTGTCAGTATCAAGAGTAAACCTTTACTGGTTTACTAGCTTCCCTTAAGTATACTACAGAAATTAAATATTTTCAATTACTTTTTCATAGCTCATTGTTTTTATCCAGTTGCTAATATCTGCAGATTTATATTTCACATTGTTATATAGGATGCTTCAATGTTTTGTGAAAAATAGTTCCTAAATCTTCTGGTGAAAAACATTTGAGCTTGATTCCAAAGAAGTGTGTGCATTAGGTCTGAAAATGATGATGCTGTTCTCACTTAGTGTCCTGACATCAACAGAACCTGTGAAGTTTCTTCTCGGAGCACATGTCTCACATATTGTGATGGATTGCTTTGCTGGAGAGTGCTTTCAGGTTTTGGTACTGGTTTTTGAGGCTTCACTTTAAAGGTTTCAATAAACAAAATAAAAAAATACCCATCAGCCTTGATCAGGCTCTCAAGAAAGTTGAAGAACAATGATGTATGACATTTCCCCAGTTTTCAGTTACTGATGCCAGGTAGGGTTTTGTTTGTTAGTGTGGAGACTTTATTATATACCTACATTTCTTCTTCCTAGTGCAGTTTTCTGAGTAGGACTTTTAATCACCTGAAGTTTTCTCTGGTCTTCCTTTTCAACCTATGGAGACTTTTAGTTTATTGTCAACAGAGGAGGTGGGGATAATTCACTCTTACTATACACAGTTTGTCTTCTCAGGGTTAGCTTTTAATTCTGATACAGTGTTAAATTCTAATACAGTATTAAATTCTGAAGATTTTCTTGAATGAAGGTGAATAAAACTACTGCAAAATCCTCAGAAGGCTTGGCCATTTCTTACTATTTCTACCAGGTTCTCCTAAGAAAAAGCAGGAAATCTCAGCCTGTATGTTTTTCCTCAATCAAAGCAAAAGGTTGGTCTCTGGGACTCAAAATTACCAATGTGAATTATCTTCCCTATTACTAAATCCAGCTGCATGTCCTTTTATGATATTTTTTCCTGTAATCACTAGTTAGGAAAAAACTGAGATTAATTGTAATGGCACTGTCTGTAGCCTCAAGTCACTCTGTGTTCAGTGTATTCAGAAAAGTGTTAAAACTTCAACTTCTCTTTCAGGGTCCTCCAATAAAAAAAAAGAAATGGGGTTCTTGGGTGGAGCAGTTGCTAGAGGACATGCATCTAAGTGGGTATTTCACTTCGAGCTCTTGGCTTAAGTTTCCTTAGCTGGGTGTGGTATGTCATGAACAGTGTTTGAAGCCATACCATATCTCTGAGGAACTGAAAGTATGGGATTTTTGACATGTGCATCCAAAAGAAGAGGATTGAATTGGGAAATAAGGCTTTAAGTCAGGAAGTAAGAAAATGGAAAAACTGCATGTATCCCTCTGCATGGTCTGCCTGTTCACCAAGGTATTGAAAGACAGAAGAATTTCTCTGACTCTAAGCTTTTTTCTTCACTTTACTATTCACTTCAGCTATGCCTCAGACTTCTTCCAGTAACCTGGTTCTCTTCTACAGAATTTCTTCCCTTTAAATTCAAGCTGAGCAGTGCCTTCTTGGCTGGAGATTATAATTGCTTCTGCCACTAAAGCTCATAATGGCAGGGTGTTAAGGAGCTTAAATTGCAGTGTTCCTCAGGTCTTGCACTTTTTTTAGTCAAAGCTCTCTGTGCAGGTTTGGTGTTTCTCACAGTAGCTTCCTCAAGGTGAGAAAGGCTATTTGAAGTAGAGGATGTTCCATTCATAAGAGGAGGATATTTATGTAAATTTGGTTTGTGTAAAGACTGAAATAGCTTCAGAGGCAAGGAGGTGAAAATACTTCATGCTGCTGTTATTCAAAATGCTGGTATTAATTCTTTGTCCACACAGCTGCTGGAAAAAAACATTGCTAAATGGTGCTGATGTGTAAAAAGAGGAAGAAGTGCTGCTCTGGCAGGAGGACACAGTTGCTTCTCCTAAGCGTAACTAAGGAATTTGGAGTTTAAAGACTTGAAAGATTTAAATTTTCCTAAAATGAGAGGCGAATGTCAGTCATTATACACATAGCCTTACCTTTTAAAAATTGTCATTGCTGCAAGCTCAGCAAAAAAAGAGCATTTTATTCTTAAAAAAACCTAAACATAAACAAACGTGTTCCATTATAATATAACCCCTTCCTTCTTATTAAATATATATGCTACAGAAATTAATAAGCTTGAAATAGAAATGCAAAGTATCTTTAAAAGTACAAAAAATATTGACATTCATGCTAGCTCATTAACCAGTAAAATCCCAATCACATGCAGACGTCTCTGGGGATTTTTTGGTCTGCTTTTATTTTTATTATATCTTCAGAAATTAATAAATTACAAGTGCTTGAAAAAATCTGTGCATGTAATTACAGTGACAGTGGCAACTAGCAGTTCATTATGTTCTGGAAGGACACTGGCTGAAATTTGTTGCATAGTAAGACTTCTGTCACCAGAAGGATGTGCATGTGTGTTGCCTGTCCTTTACAGGAGTAAAGAGATCTTTGGTGGATTCTTTCTGTCTGTGATCTGGTCTACAAACTTTCAAACTGCTCATGAATTGGCATGTCACCACCCAGAATTAAACTGAGTCAAGCAGATGAAACACAAATACAAGGTATTGTTAGTGGCCTGTGTACCATAATTTTGGAACTGCTGCCTTAGATGAAGGCAAGAAATGTCTGCTGCGAGGAGATTTTGTGACTGGCGTCCTGTTACTAGGTTTAACAAATGTCAAGCTTAAATCTGAACAGCTGTGCCAAAGGCTGGTGACAATGAATGTGGGTATCTTGACACAGAAAAGAACAATGAACTCTCCTAACTGCAACCAGTGTGAATTAGTGGATTTATGAAACCAGTTTTTATATGTAACGTGAGAAAGGGAACATCTGCTTCCTACTCTGTATCTCAGTATCTGTTCCTTTTCTGATTCTGTTTTCTATCAGCGCTCTTATATTGTAGCAGTCTTTATACTGTTGGCTTTTTACTTGCTTCATTTACATGTAGGCCATTTTTCTTGTTTCACACTGAAGACCTTTGAACTTAAGGCTGCTTTTCTTTCTTCTTCAGCTCCTTAATCAAAAATCTGTTCTCTTTTCTCTGCAGCCAGATACATGACAAGGTTTGTAGCCAATATTGTTTAATATTGGGTGGCATTTTATACTGGAAATGTGTTGTCTATTTATGCTTTTAGGTTTTGATTAAAACTTATTGATGCATTCTCATTTTCCTAATACTGCAAATATTTTGAAGATGTTGGTTTGTGCAAGAGAACAAGTGTCTGCTGCAGAGTACTTTCATGCATTATGTATTTGTAACGCTATTGGCTTTTGTGGTAGTTAACTCTCTGCAAGATGACAGTGTATGGATTTTGTTAGAATGGGTAGAAGTAGGTTTGTTTACCCTCCTTGCTAATTCTGATATTCAG